TGTTATGGTCCCTGAAGGTCCTGCATTCTTCTCTAAGAACTTGGTGTTCCAGTGATCTAGCAAAGTGTTCATTTGGTCCAGATACGTTTTTTGCTATGTCTCTCTAATATTCGTCTTCATCTCCTTTTCCCCAAAGCCAACAAGCCCCCACAGAGGCTGGATCATCCCGCCATTTGGCGAGAATCCCTGGTGGGTGTATCTGGCAGCAGCCATCCCTGCATTGCTGGTGACCATCCTTATCTTCATGGACCAGCAGATCACAGCTGTTATTGTCAACCGGAAAGAACACAAACTCAAGGTTGGTGCCTGGAACAGGGATGAATCCAGGAGCTCATGGGTATAAAGATAAGAATCTCACCAACGAAGTTAGGGTGGGTAACTTTCTAACCTTCCAAGGTTTCAGAGGGACGTCTTCAAATGTTTTGGCAAAAAAAACACACACAAAAACTTCCAATGTGGTCTTCAGGGTCACTTTGTAGCTGTACTTAAGGTCAGGGGTGGGAGAGTTGTGTATCTCTAGTGGTTGCTGGACATGAGTTCAGTTCACATCATCTCTGACCATTGACCATGCTGGCTGGAGCTAATGGGAGTTGGAATCCAACAACATCTAGAAGGTCCCTGGCTCCTTACCATTGGCCTTGTACATCGTTTCCCAAACTTGAGCCTCTACCTGCTTTTGAACTACAGGTCCCATCATCCCTGCTAGCTGGGGATGATGGGAGTTGTAGTCCAACAACAGCTGGAGACACAAGTTTGGGAAACACTGGCCTAGTTCAATACACCTCACTCCAGTCTTACCATTATGCGGTTTTGGTAACCCAGGCAATAGATAAAAAAGGGTTGGGGTTTTTTCTGTTGCACAAAAAGTTTCTCTCTCTCTGCTCAGCTCAGATACCAGAAGTGAACTTGTCTTGGATAAAAAGGCCTGGGGCAATAGACTAACAAGCTGTCATAGGATTCAGCTATCTGCACTTGTGAACCCCTTTTGATATGAATTTCAGATCTCCCCACCCCCGTGGGCGCTTTATACGTGAATGGAGCAAACTTGTAATTAAACAAACACGGTTTCTTTTGTCATATCTAGCTTGCGCCGAAGAAGAGGAGTTGAAAATGTTTTCTAAAGAAATAAAGATGGCCTTTGTTTTGGCTTTAGGTCAGGAAATGCTGCCCAGGAAGTATGTTTTTGGACTCCACCGGTCTTGGTTTCTTTCTCAATGAACATTTACTCCTTGTTTATCTCATACCGGTGTCTGCGTACTATTTTTCTTCCATCTGCATATAGCTGGGTGGAGGCTCTTATTCAAACCTCTGCCGAGGCTGATTCTTGCTTAGATAGGACCTGGTCCCACATCTGCTGCAGAAGAAGGGCACCAGTCTCTGTAGGTTGCTAGCAAAGTTCGTCATGTACCCCCTCCCAGAGGTAGTTACTTCACCTTCTGTAGCAGCAACCAAAGGAGGATTTGAACAGCTGTCAAACTTTCCATAGCACTGTTTTACAATTGCAAGGAGGGTAATAATGGCAGCTGTGTGCAGTTTCCTTCTAATTCTGCATGCCCAAATGTGAGGTGAGCAGCTGGAATTACACCTGAGCTACCTATGTATAATATTCAGCAAGAGCATTAAGCTCCTCTGGGGGTGCAGCAGATGGATCTTCCTGTTTCTGCCACATGTTTGTGTGCCAAGCTGTGTATTGGGCCCAGAAAGAAGAGAAGAAGAAGAGTTTGGATTTGATATCCTGCTTTATCACTACCCTAAGGAGTCTCAAAGTGGCTAACATTCTCCTTTCCCTTCCTCCCCCACAACAAACACTCTGTGAGGTGAGTGGGGCTGAGAGACTTGGAAGAAGTGTGACTAGCCCAAGGTCACCCAGCAGCTGCATGTGGAGGAGCGGGGAAGCGAACCCGGTTCCCCAGATTACGAGACTACTGCTTCTAACCACTATACTACACTGGCTCTCAGAAAGGCTCTCACCAGAAAGGCTCCGGATACCATTTTTCTCCTCCTCCTGCTGCTGTTTTGCTATTCAGGACCATAGGGACAGCTCTGAGCAACAAAAACGTTTGTCACCTCAACTTGGCCAAAGCAAAATGAACATTTGGGCAGCATGGGGTGTGCCTCTGGAGGTGAAGTCAAACCGCTGCATTAGCACCACCCCTGGGTACAAGCCTGGGCAGTGTTTATGGAGGTCCTGGGCTGCCCAGACGACAAGACCCTCCTCTTGGTTTTGCTGATGTGGTCCAGAGGAAAGCAGAGCAATGTGTTTGGCACCAGCTTGGCTGATGGATTTGCTGGAAGGAGGCATGCAAGGCACCATCCACCCGTCTTAGGAACTCCACTCCTGATTTGTGTAGGGTTTATTCCTTAGCCTTTTCTTCCTTTTCTTCTCCCAAAGATATCCCGCATGGCAGCGGAGGTTTAGGATCAGAGTTTCCCTTCTCCTAGATGGGTTTATCTTCCCAGGTGGATGAGCCCCATCTGTCCAAGCTCATATGGTAGGCCATGTTATTAGTGGCTAGGAGGGCTTGATTTCAATGGGTTGTTAACCACCTTGGGCCTCGGAGTTCCCACCCGTGGCATCATATTCATTCTCCCTTTTCCTTATATCTTGATTGTAGTTGAGCACATTTTTAAATCAGACTCTCAACAACCTTTGTAACTCCAATTCGTATGCTGCCAGCTGCGCATAGAGCTTCCGTTCTGCCAAATGATTATGCAAGCCACCCACAATCTAGTACCATCCAGCATCTTTGGACTACAATTTCCATCAGTCCCAGCCAGCAGTCAGGGATGATGGGAACTGTAGTTCAAAACACATTGGGGGCACCAGTTTGGGGAACGCTGGATCACACCCATTCTTTGCTGGTGCCCCTTACACCCAAAATTCTTAAAACACCTTTGTGGTACCGCTTCTCACCTCTATCCCTCGTCCCATTCAGACCCCAGCTGAATCTAGCTGAGATTCCTGCATTGCTGTGGGTTGGGCTAGATGACCCTTGGGGTCCCTTCCAACTCTACACTTCTGTGATTCTATGGAAAGCTCCTTAGTTAATGGAGCTTTGCTCTTTAGTCATCACCAGGAATTGAAACAAGACTGAAGCCCACTACGTTTGTGTGCATTCATCCTGTTAACCTTCATTTTCTCTCCCCCCACTTCTCCTTGTTATCTTTCCCCCACTGTCAGAATTTAGATTTAGATTTCTCAGGCCAAAGAGCCTACATTGCCATGTTCGCTAATGGTGTTATGTAAATGATAATAACGGCATCTCTTAGCGAGGCCCATCTCCCACTCCATGGATGCTGGATTTATAAGGCTCATGTGACGTGTGGGGAGGCAATGGGGAGAACAGAACCTACTACTCTCTGCCAGTTGTGGAAGAACAAACAAACCCACAAAATTCAGGATTGGTTGCTCCTCGGGGGTTTCGGCAGAAGAGGCCAGGAGTCTGTCCCCAGGCTCCAATTAGTGTTCAGTTCACCACACACCAGGGCTACTCGCCTTGGCAGAAATAGCTTCCTGTTAAAGTGCATATCAGTAACAAGGAAAAGGATGCAGTCAAGAGGGGAGGATTTGCTGAAAGATAAACAAGGACCCAATTGTCACTGAGATGGCAGATCTTCATTTCTGGGCTATATTGTACTTCATACAATAGCCAGTGTGGTGTAGTGCTTAAGAGCAGTAGACTTGTAATCTGGTGAACCATGTTCGCTTCCCCGCTCCTCCACATGCAGCTGCTGGGTGACCTTGGGCTAGTCACACTTCTTTGAAGTCTCTCAGCCCCACTCACCTCACAGAGTGTTTGTTGTGGGGGAAGAAGGGAAAGGAGCATGTTAGCCACTTTGAGACACCTTCGGGTAGTGATAAAGCAGGATATCAAATCCAAACTCCTCTTCATACTGTGGGTGAAGGCTCTTGTGATGCTCCATCCTGCCCCCAAAGTCCCCTCTACAGTGGTACATCTGGATGCGAACAGGATCTGTTCCCGAGCCCTGTTCGCATCCTGAAGCGAACGCAACCCGCATCCGTGGGTCGCTATTCGCTGCTTCCGCGCATGCGCGCGACGTCATTTTGACCGTCTGCGCATGCACAAGCGGCAAAACTCAGAAGTAACGCGCTCCGTTACTTCCGAGTTGCCGTGGAGCACAACCTGAAAATACTCATCCCGAAGCTACTTCAACCCGAGGTATGACTGTATTTGAAAGACCAGTTCCATCAGAAGGAAGAGTTCAGATCTCGTCTTCTCTTTGTCATGCTAGTTTTCTCTGTGTAGAGATCCCCGCCCTTTCCCATTCAGCCACGTGAGCCCCTGCCTGCAGTTTGAAATGCACAGCCTGGACCCAAGTACCACCTCAGTGTTTACCTCCTCTGTGGGAATCAGGTGTGCTCTGTAATTTGTTTAATAGGTTCCGAGTTCCTTGTGTTTTTGCAGCTGAGTGAGTCACACCTATAATATTTGCCTTACCAAAAAACACAGTTTCACAACCCTGGCTTTTAGGTTCCTTCAGCGAGCCAGCCATTGTACAGTCTTGACAACTGTTACGCATCTAAACTGGTGGGTGGGTAAGATGAGATATGGATTTAGCTAAAGGTGGATCTTGAGGCAAAACATAACCATATACGTGGGTTACAATCCAATTTGACCAGGCCATAAACAATGATTGCTTTCCATAGGTTGCTTTCTGTTTGCACTGAGATGAGCAAAACTCAGTGCGGATCTGCAGTAAAGGATAACCCTACAGCATGCTCAGCTCTGGCTCTGCTTAAATACCACCAGCAAAGGAGAGTCCAACACCGTCTGTTCTATTGTCAAACATCTCTTACCCCTAAGATGCCTCTCCTAAAGTTAAGCTAAAATCTGATTCCCTGTGATTTCCACCCATTGATTCTGCAGCAACAGAGAACAATTTTGCTCCATCCCTTCAGGCATGGCAGCCCTTCAAATATTTGAAGACAGTTGTCTTGTCTCTCCTTTAATTTCCTCTTCTCTAAACTAAACATACCTGCGCTGTCCTCCACCAGGAACTTTAAATTATGCCCTGCCTGCCCAGGAACCTTTACTTGCAACTTGTCAAATAAAAAAAAATAAGCCCCTTTCCTTGTTTGCATGTGCTTCTCCACTGCATAGAGCCATTTCTGAAGCACTCATCCAGCTGTTTCAAAGATAATTAAGTTAGCAAACAGGGTCAAGGTTGATCCTGTAATGATTCTGTGCTTCTTCCAGCATGGCTTCCCATCACATGCAGCAAGCACCCTACCACTGTTCCCCTTCTTTCCTCTTTGCAGAAAGGTGCTGGCTATCATCTGGATCTGTTCTTGGTCGCTGTGCTGATGATTATATGTTCCTTCATGGGCCTTCCCTGGTACGTTGCTGCTACGGTCATCTCCATCGCGCACATTGACAGCTTGAAGATGGAGACGGAGACGTCTGCACCTGGGGAGCAACCCAAGTTCCTGGGAGTCAGGTATGCCAGCAGGGCCGGCCCTGCCATTGGGCAACCAGAGAAGAGTGGCACTCTTCAGGGAGCAGGGCCCATAATCTGAGTCTTACACAGAGAGTAGGAGAAAACCTAGCTTAGTAGCGCAGGCCAAAGAAATGAAGAGATAAAAGGCCCTCCAGTCAGTTGTGTATATAATATTTCTTGTGGCAATTCACTATCTTCGGATGACGGTGAAAAACTCCTATTAGGAACTGGTCTGATAATTGCTGGCTTTTATTTCAGGGAGCAGAGAGTGACTGGAGTGATTGTGTTCATTCTGACGGGCATTTCAGTCTTCATGGCTCCCATTCTGAAGGTAAATGATTGCTCAACGTTTTTGCCTCTGCTTCACCCTTCATGCTGAGCTGTGTGTCTCTGTTTTGAGAAAGCTACTAAGTCTGCCATAAACAGGTGGAAGGATTTTTCTAACACATTTAAGGAGCTGTAATAAATTACTGTAAAAGAAGAATTTCAAAACGTCATTGCCTTTGTAGAGTAATAATGTTTCTCGGGAGCAAAGTCATACAGAGGGCAGGCAAGAACGTTTTAGGGCAAAAGTGTTTTTGGCAAACTATTGAAGAGTTGCCACAACACTTGCAGGGAATGTGCCTCCCTCAATTTGAAAAGCACGATGCACCTTTCACTTGGAAAACCCCTACCAGGATGGTGGAACTACATGTCTTCTGAAGAACAAGCCTGTCACCAAAAATAGCAGTGCCCAGCCCATAATGTTTTGCAAATTATCCCTCCTTGACCTCATGCTATGTCATGCTACGCAGTTCTTCACCCTTGTTCCACATCAAGGGAAACCCATAGTAGAACCATCTGGTTGGCCACTGTGGATAGCTCAGTCAGTAGAGCATGAGGCTCTTAATCACAGGGTCATGGGTTCGAACCCAACATTGGGCAAACGATTCCTTCATCGCAGGGGGCTGCACTAGATGACCCTCATGTTCCTTTCCACCTCTACCATTCTATCTATCTATTCATTTATTTATTGGTTTTCACATATTGCATTACAAATCTACCAAAGCCAACACCATTTCTTCCCCATCCCCCCCATCCATTTACATTTATATTTCCTCAGCCCATCATATTATTCTTTTCTCCTTCCTTCCACTTCCCTCCGCCCCCACTCGATTTAATCCACATTATACAATTTACAATAATCTTTGCATTCTATAGTCTTCTCAAAGCATCTATATATTCTTATGATCTTTCCTTACTAATTTTTCTTCCATCCAGTACTTCACATTTTAATCTAGGCATATTAGCATATGTGGTTTTTTTGAGCAATATTTTGCCGTATATTCATCAAAACATTTCCACACCTTTTTTAATTTTTGATTCGACTGATTTCTTCTTATAGCAGTTAATTTTGCCAAAATTAAATTTAGTTTACAAATCCATCCCTCCTTTGTGGGGATAGTTTGTGCCTTCCACCTAGCAGCAATCACTATTCTAGCAGCTGTACTTGCATATAGAAAAATTCTTCCCACCCCCTATCATTCCATGATTCTAGGATGTGAGGGTTATAGTACTGCGTATAACATAGAGCAGGGGTAGGCAACCTAAGGCCTGGGGGCCGGATGCGGCCCAATCGCCTCTCAATCCGGCTCGCAGATGGTCTGGGAATCAGCATGTTTTTACATGAGTAGAATGTGTCCTTCTATTTAAAATGCATCTCTGGGTTATTTGTGGGGCATAGGGATTCGTTCATATATTTTTTTCAAAATATAGTCCGGCCCACCACATGGTCTGAGGGACGGTGGACCAGCAGTGTAGTAGAGAAGGGACCGGCTGAAAAAGGTTGCTGACCCGTGACATAGAGGGAGGAACTTGGTGTGGAGAGCAGGTTCCTGGTTTGGGTAGCAGCTCTAAGCTGCTCGTAACATGCAGTTCCATCCTTCCTGGTGGTGCTGAGATGGAAGTTACCCAAATTTGCAAGGGTTATATGTTTCAAATCTGGGCTTGGCGTTTTTTGTTTTGTTCTTTTGCTTTCCACTTTGCAGGCTCAGATCTTTATTTATTATTTTGTGCTCTTAGCCTGGCCTCCAAAAAACGGCTTGTGGCAGGTAACAACAACAACAAAAATACAATTAGAACAATTGAAATTATGAAACTGAGCCCCAAAACAATGACAGAGCAGCAAAATTGCTGCTGCAGTTCACCTTAAGTCAGGCTGTGACCCACCTGCTGAACAAATGGCTTGACTCGCTATAAAGCAGTTAGTGCTGTTTGCAACCTTGGGTAGGAATAGCATACTGAGTACGAAGAGCAGATCAGGGCAACGTGTGAGCAGCATTCTGTGTCTTTAAAAAGAGGTGCAGCATCTTAAATGTTGTTTTTCCTGCTTGACCAAGAAGACAAGGGCAAGAGTGCACAGCCTGTATCCTCTTTAATTCTTTTATTCCTATTTTTAATTAAAAAAAGAGAGAACTTTTTCAACCAGCCCTCCAGCTTCTGGGTTGTTCATTAACAGATGAGGTAGAATTGCATACCAGTGCATGGGTCTATATAATCATTTGTAACCAAACCCTGAAGCATAAAACATAGCCACGAAATCTGACGATGGATCAGTGAAGCAGTAACGCAAGGCATGGTGGGAAGAGCTTTTTGCTATACAGTGCCTCTGTACATGGAGGCTCAGTTTTGTTGTTTTCCATGCACTTAGGCCTCCTTTCCTGTGTTGGCTGACATCTCCCGCTCTAGAAAATGGAGCATTTTCCTTTTTAAAAACAGAAAAATTAGAGAAAGCATGAAGCGTTCCAGGATGATGCCATTGTGGGAAAATTCAAAAAGTGATTTAATACCTCCTTTTTAAAAATAAATATGCCCTCAGGACATTTGAACAGAAATAGCAACTGGAGAGTCTTCTTTGTCTATGCACCTAGCAGTAAAACTACCTGCAAGGTTGAGACAGGGAAGAAACAAGAGAGGCCAGTTAGAGCTCAGGTCAGGCCAAGCCAGACAGGAATTTCTGAAGATGAGCGGCTTAGGGAGTTCTTTCAAGGTCATAAGAAACCAGGTCGGAGTTTAGTTGTGGCTGCCGAGGTGCTCCCCAGGGGGTGAATTTCAAATTGTCTCGTATGCAAGTTGCGGTACCTCCGCCAATTCACTCGCTGTTTGTCATGCCACCTGGGCATTTAAACATACGTTCCCAACCTTGCATTCTGAAGGAATCCTGAGACATTTGGATCATGTCTTTCCCCCCTCCATCCTGAGCACATAGAGAAACACCCAGGGTTTTTCATTCTTGACCGTGCAGTTGGTCATGTTCACTTCACTGTGATTGTAGTAAAGAGCATTCCTTCCTCAACACACTGGGGTCATGTGTTCTCCTGCAGGTCACATCTCTAAGAGATTATATAGGGAATGAACTGATTCCTTAAAGTTCCTGGGATGTGCTTTTTTGTGTGTGTCTTACTTTGCTGTGCACTGGAGGTGCTTAAAAGTGATCACAATATCTGGAAGCAGGAGAATATACCGTAAATAGTTCAGGAAGGTCATTGAGTAAGCACTGCCTGCCATATAGTGGCTTGTGCCTGTCACTGCAGTTAGCAATTGTGCTCTGCATATCCTTTGACATAGTTGCTGCTGCTTCTTTTGGGTGGTGGTGGTAATATTATTATTATTATTATTATTATTATTATTATTATTATTATTATTATTTTATACCCTGCCCGTCTGGCTGGGTTTCCCCAGCCACTCTGGGCGCCTGCCAACCGAATATTAAAAACAATACAGCATCAGACATTAAAAACTTCCCTAAACAGGGCCACCTTCAGTTGTCTTTTAAAAGTAAAATAGCTGTTTATTGCCTTGACATCTGCTGGGAGGGCGTTCCACAGGGCAGGTGAGAAGGCCCTCTGCCTGGTTCCCTGTAACCTCACTTCTCGCAATGAGGGAACCGCCAGAAGGCCCTCAGCGCTGGACCTCAGTGTCCGGGCTGAACGATGGGGGTGGAGACACTCCTTCAGGTATACTGGACCGAGGCCATTTAGGGTTTTGAAGGTCAGCACCAACACTTGGAATTGTGCTCGGAATTGCTTACTTCATGTTTTTTTTTTCTCTTTCCCCCACTTTTAGTTTATTCCCATGCCTGTGCTGTATGGCGTGTTTCTATATATGGGCGTTGCTTCCCTTAATGGAGTTCAGGTAAGCTTTCTCCTTGGCAGCCCAAGGTCTTACGACTGGTGGGGTGCACGTTATAGAAGTCCCTTGTCAGGAGAGATGGTAAACATTAACCAGCCTCCTCATTCTCACACATCTGAAGTAGGTCATTCAGCTCCTGGAAATAAAGCACATGGCTCAATTAGTCAGTTGGCCAATAAGGTGCAGGAGACCCCATTGTTGCCATCTTCCAGCTGCATCCCAATATGTTTCCTCTTCTGGAACTCTGTTTATTTTGATTAACACCGTCTCCTGCCCTCTTGTCTTCCATCTCGTTCTCATTCAGAAAGGCATGCAGAAAATTGACCAGTATGTGTATCACACACACACAAAGTACAGGACTGTGGTGCAGATTTATACCATTCCCCTGTACCGGATTTACGTATAAGCTAAACAAGCTATAGCTTAGGGCCCCACTCTCTTGGGAGCCCCCCAAAAATGTAAAGGAAAAAACAAACCACTGGATGTACATTTCCGAAATATAAGATAAAAAACAAATAAAACAAAACCTACATACAGCAACAGTGTTTTGTGTTGTGTAGGCTCCTATGATGTAAGTCATGGGCCTCGCCTGCTCCCTAAAATATCACGGGTTTGCTCATTTCTATATATAGGGTGCCTACATTCTGCGTGGACAGATTGCATGGCAACCTATTAGGTCCATAAATTACCATATAGCATATTCAACACACAAAAAAGCGACAATTTGTTGTTGGCAAAGGACAGCTGGACATATAAAGGGCCCCATTACCTTCAGTAGCTGAGGGCCTCATCAAACCTAAATCCAGCCCTGCCCTGAAATGATGCACGCTTCATTAATTAAAACAATACATGTATTATTAATGTTTTTTTTAAAGAATTGGCTTCAAAGCTAAGCCTGTTAATATCAGCTGGGTGCAGGGTTTCAGGGAAAGCAAGCAGAGCTGTCCAACTAAGCATGACGTGGGTGGGTTTATAATACCCCTTGGCAGAGGACTCTTTCCAACCCACATTCTTATACTGGGGTCTTTTACTGGCCCCCTATGTTTCTCTGTGAACTCTATAGAAAGCAACATAGATAATTGGTTTGCAGTTCTAATCATTTATCTCTGGAGGAAAAACAGCACAACTGATTCTGGAACGTAGTGGCCGAAATTTGTGTGCTTCCTTATTTTGCAAATGTGCAAACTGCTTCACAGCCTGAAGTTATGGACGTAGTGCACAGTAAGATCAAATGAGATCAAATGCAGAAAAAAATTACTCTTAAAAACAAAACCATTTCTACCAACTTTAAAACAAACAGACAATAAGAACATTTCTATAGATGCACAGTTAAAATCCCATGATATGACTGGGTCACACTTCATGAAAAGCCTTCTGAACACAGACTTCATCTGCATTGTACATTTAAATCAGCATTATACCCTGTGGTAGCAGGAAAGCATTCGCTTCTTAAAGTGGTGAGAAATTGCTTTAAATGTGTCATGCGGATGGGGCCATGAAATCTTCATCTGCCACCTAATTCAAGGGAATCTAACTGTAGAATGCGGTTTTATACCAGGAGGTCCAATTGTCATAGGGGCCTGCTCTGTAGCTGTATGATGAATTTTAGCCTTGCCCCTAAAATGAGTCTGCCTCCCTCCAATTTATGAAGAGGCTTGAGTTGATGTGGCTGAGTTAGCATAAGCTCATGGGAGTTCATAAAACTTGGCAAATCTTGAAACCTCGACCACTTTTTAAAATGCTTGTCTTGTCGCTTGAGAAAACGCTCCGTGAAAGCTCTTTGCCTCGGAGAGCCTAGCATCTTGGAACTGGCACCAGGAAAAGCTGGTCGTGCTTCTGTTAACTTTCTGGCACCTTGTTAATTGCATTGCTCTTCTGTGCTTAATAGAAAAAGGAGTGCATGTTTTGTGTCCTCCCCTAGAGATTTATTTGGGCCTTGGTTTCATTCACTGGATTGAGATTAATCTGGCTTCAGAGTCAGCCAGCTGTGGGCAGTGGGCCAGGGCGCTGCCAGAGGACAAATAGTTTATTGTTAATTCTTGCCTGAGCTTAGGCCTTTACTGAGGCCATCACTCAAGTGGAGGAAAGTGAGGAGGACCGAGGAGGGCAGGTTGGTTCTCAGCACAGGCATACAAGCTAACTAAATAGACGAGAGACCATCTTTTCCTAGAACAACACAATGCAGGAACACTCGCTGGTTCTCAGGTTACACAAAGGTCATCATCAGCTAAAACCTGAGTTGCACATCGTCCTGTCCTTGTGGCAACAATTCCATTATGCATATGGTGGGTTCCTCCTGCCTCACTACGATGTGTGCGTGTTCCAGGGCCGGCACACCTGTGAGGCAAGGTGAACCTCTGCCTGGTTCCCTGTAACCTCACTTCTCGCAGTGAGGGAACCGCCAGAAGTCTCAGGCTGACCACTGGGGAAACCCTCCTGTCACTGCAGAAAACCTGCACGATGGCGCTTGTGCATTTGAGGAGAGGATCCTGCAGCTCCCACCTCTTTTGAGCTTTAAAGCAGTACCAAAGCCTTGTTGATTCCCCAGTCAGGTGCTAGAAGCAAAACTAAAAATAACCGTTTGCTTTTTCTGCATTGGCGCATGCCAGCACCACACTGCTGAACTCTGCTCCTTCTCCTTTCTCCACCCCAGTTCATGGACCGCCTGAAGCTGCTCTTGATGCCTCTGAAGCACCAGCCTGACTTCATCTACCTGCGCCATGTCCCCCTTCGCCGGGTCCACCTCTTCACTTTCCTCCAAGTGGTGTGTCTGGCTCTCCTTTGGATCTTGAAGTCTACAGTGGCTGCTATCATATTCCCAGTCATGGTAGGTTGGTGTGATCATGACTGTCACCTGTTGCACCCATCCTTCCTTCTAGCGCTGCCTGACTTGCCTTGCTGATCAGTGACACAGTTCCACAACCTTATTCCTTCCCTGTCCAAAGACGGAAACAATTTGAACATATTTATTTTGCTGAGGGATGCGGGTGGTGCTGTGGGTTAAACCACAGAGCCTAGGACTTGCCAATCAGAAGGTTGCCGGTGGTTTGAATCCCCATGACGGGGTGAGCTCCCAGTGTTCGGTCCCTGCTCCTGCAAACCTAGCAGTTCGAAAGCACGTCAAAGTGCAAGTAGATAAATAGGTACCGCTCTGGCAGGAAGGTAAACGCCGTTTCCGTCCGCTGCTCTGGTTCGGCAGAAGCAGCTTAGTCATGCTGGCCACATGACCCGGAAGCTGTACGCCGGCTCCCTCGGCCAATAAAGCGAGATGAGTGTCGCAACCCCAGAGCCGGCCACGACTGGACCTAATGGTCAGGGGTCCCTTTACCTTTACCTTTAAGTTTAATAATGAAGTGCGAGATAGAGAACAGGCCTTTCTTTTTCCTTAACCCCCCAAAAAAACTCACCTATGTAAATGCTGATGGATTAAAAGGGGGAGGGGAACCCTCATGTTGTAGAGGTTTTCAAAAGATGTTTGAAAGGATGGATGGGTGGATATGAAATAATTAGGTATGCTGGTAAGATGGCCAACGTTCTTTGTTTTGCCTTGTATATTCATCACTTATTCATAGTTTATACATAGCCTGGACCAGCCTTCCACTGAGATGTCTCCGTCTTGCCTATTTTGCAAAAAGAGAGGTGTCCTCTTGCAGTTGGATTCTATACCTTTCAGTAGTCAGTGGCTAATAACTTGTAGCTTTAATTTGTGTGGATCAGCCATATATTTCAGGTTTGTTTTCCCCCCATTATCTGATCAGGCATAATAGCAGCGAGATTTTTTTTCAAGTTGAGGAAGCCTGGTAGTTGTAGGCTAGAGTTTTGGTAATGTGGGAAAGTTTTACTACTTCCTTCTGTTTCTTCCTTCCTTAAGTACTGGGTGGTTTCCTCAGGGCAACAACATGGGGGCAGGGGAAACAAGTGGAGGGCAGAAAAATTGACCTTCACTGAGTGGACATTTTCATACTACAGTGGTACCTTGGTTTAAGAACAGCTTAGTTTATGAACAACTTGGATTAAGAACGCTGCAAACCCGGAATAATAATAATAATAATAATAATAATAATAATAATAATAATAATTTTTATTTATATCCCACCCTCCACAGCCGAAGCTGGGCTCAGGGCGGCTAACAACAATCAAAATAATCCAACATTCTAAAAACATTCATTATAAAATTAATTAAAATCAAATTGATGGCAACCATTAAGCAAGATTCTGTGCAGATTGCCAGAGGAGGGGGTCAGGCTGCGCCCCGACCAAAGGCCTGGTGGAACAGCTCTGTCTTGCAGGCCCTGCGGAAAGATGTCAGGTCCCGCAGGGCTCTAGTCTCTTGTGACAGAGCGTTCCACCAGATTGGAGCCGTGGCCGAGAAAGCCCTGGCTCTAGTTGAGGCCAGCCTAACCAGCCAGGTGTTTTGGTTTGTGAACTTTGCCTTGGAAGCAGAACATGTTCCGCTTCCTGTTGAATGTGTTCCATTTGTAAATTGAGTCCCTCACTGCTATGGGAAAGCACACCTTGGTTTAAGAACGCTTCGGTTTAAGAACAGACTTCGGAATGGATTAAGTTTGTAAACCAAGGTACCACTGTATTCTTGAGTAATTGTGGCAAATTCAGTTATGTGCAGTCATTAGGGCTTTTGTTGTTGTTCCAATGTGCATCACTTTGCATCAAAGAGTGTCAACATTTTTGGGCCCACGTTCACATTTCAATTTTGAAAGGGTATCACTCCTGCTGGTTATTTCTTCCTTCCCCAGTCACTCCCCTTCCTCTAAAGACAATGCTCAGGTTAATAGACCATCTTGTGGAATTTTAAACTCTGATGTATCACGGGCGATTGTTTTTATTTGTTACTGTTTCATGTATTTTTGTGTTTTTATATTGTGAACCTCCCTGTAATCCTTGGGTGAAGGGCGGTGCAGACATTCAATAAAATAATAAATAATGATTTCCAGATAGGGGAACCACCATGTCCCTTACCTTCAGCTGCCTCTACGCTGTCTGTACATAAGATAAACTGAGGCTTGCCTCCCCACTTCTCCCCGCTTCCTGGTGGATATTCCTCAAAGCCACAGATCTATACAATATGCTGCACAGCTATACAAGGTCTCAGCTAAAAGCTATCCATGTGCAGAATGTCTCTTGCCAGACTTGTTTTTGCTATAAGAGCACTCCGAGGTAGTTGTCCCATAGGTTGAGGCAAATTATGTTTGGGTCCCTTTGCTGCAAATTACAAAGTGCGGCTAGGAAATCCTTGTGCTTGCCATTGTTTTTTTTTTTTTATCCTGTCTCATTCTCCTGAACATCTCCAATAAAGACAGTGCAATTTTGCAGCTCTGCCTGTTGCAGAGTTTACAAGCGGCACTTGACATCATGATCTCTGAATATTGTACCATTTATTTCCAACCTGCGGGTGACTCGAGAAATTGAAACCTGGAATCTGAGTGGCGGAACTTCCGATCGATTTCAAGCCGTGTTGACTGCAGCGGCCGCTCAGGTTTCAAATATTGTTAACCCTTTCTTTACCAGCCCGGAGGCTGAGGGAGGAGCCCTGTGTTGGATCAGGTGAGGCAAAGAAGGTAAGCTTTGGTGCTAGAAAATTGGGGGAGATGTTGCATGTCAGTAAGGGAGTGCTGGCTTCTGTCCTGATAGATCCTGGCGCTGGTGGCAGTCAGAAAGGCGATGGACTACCTCTTCTCCCAGCACGACCTCAGTTTCCTCGACGACGTCATTCCAGAAAAGGACAAGAAGAAGAAAGAGGACGAGAAGAAAAAGAAGAAAAAGAAAGGCAGCCTGGACAGTGACAATGAAGATGTAAGGCCATTTTCACCATTGTTAACATTATTTTTTTAAAAGTTTTTTATCCTGGCTAACTTGTGACAGCTCTTCAGGTTTGGATTACAGTGGTACCTTGGGTTACATATGCTTCAGGTTACATACGCTTCAGGTTACAGACTCCGCTAACCCAGAAATATTACCTCGGGTTAAGAACTTTGCTTCAGGATGAGAACAGAAATCGTGCTCTGGTGGCGCGGCAGCAGCAGGAGGCCCCATTAGCTAAAGCGGTCCTTAGCCTGGAGAAGAGGAGGTTAAGGGGTGATATGATAGCCATGTTCAAATATATAAAAGGATGACATATAGAGGAGGGAGAAAGGTTGTTTTCTGCTGCTCCAGAGAAGCGGACACGGAGCAATGGATCCAAACTACAAGAAAGAAGATTCCACCTAAACATTAGGAAGAACTTCCTGACAGTAAGAGCTGTTCGACAGTGGAATTTGCTGCCAAGGAGTGCGGTGGAGTCTCCTTCTTTGGAGGTCTTTAAGCAGAGGCTTGACAACCATATGTCAGGAGTGCTCTGATGGTGTTTCCTGCTTGGCAGGGGGTTGGACTCGATGGCCCTTGTGGTCTATTCCAACTCTATGATTCTATGATTCAGGTTAAGAACAGTTTCAGGTTAAGTATGGACCTCTGGAACAAATTCACTTCATGCCATGTCAGCCATGAAATCACAGGTTCTTGGCTATGTCTGATGCTAGAGACAGAGGCTAATACACAGGGCTGTGTGTATTTCACAGTTCTGCAGCAGGTGCTGAATTTAATATTGAAATGGGCAATGTCTGCCAAAGTTTTCAAAAATGAGAAGGAAGTTGGTCTGATGGTTGTAGGGAAGCCAAATGCGTGTCTTGTATGGTTCATGGTAACCTCTCTCTAATACTAGCAGAATAAGAGGAAATACTTTGTCAAATTGCAGAATGCAGCTTTCCCAATAATAATAATAATAATAACAATAATAATAATATTTATTTATACCCTGCCCTCCCTGGCCAAAGCCGGGCTCAGGACGGCTAACACCAGTAAAATTACAGTAAAAACATAATAAAGGAAAAAAAACCCAAGTTAAAATGCAGTTTAAAATGCAACCTCATTTTAAAAGTAGCCCATAGTTCAAACTCATAAGGGAGGGAAACATAAGGGTCAGACTGAGTCCAAACCAAAGGCCAGGTGGAACAGCTCTGTCTTGCAGGCCCTGCGGAAAGATGTCAAGTCCCACAGGGCCCTAGTCTCTTGTGAAAGAGCGTTCTACCAAGCCGGGGCCAGTACTGAAAAGGCCCTGGCAGAATTCACACAGAATTTAGGTTACGCGGCTACAGGATTTTAATCTACTGTAGCACAAAATAGACATAGCCCAGCTGATGCTCTTTTTCTGCCTAAAATGGATTTGGAGCATCCCTAAGCTGTTGCCCTCTCAATTCTCCGAACCATCCCTCTGCTACACAACGCTGAGCAAACGCAGACGTGGTGGTCCCACTCAGCCAGTTGAATGCGTTGTTACTTCTGCATTTGGCTGACAGTGCAGGATCATCACATCTAAAGGCAAACTTTGAAAAGGAAGCTTCTGTAATCTTTAGCTGTGCATACACCAGTAGCCTGTGGAATTTCTCCCTCTGACAATTTTGTGCATCCAGCCAAACGTGAAAGTGACCTCATATTTGTCTGGCTACATTGGGATCACAGCGCACAAAGGCACCCAGTCTGTCTCTTTGCACCCACCTATAGAAGTTCTTCAAATGTCTTTTTTTGCTCTGGGGGAATTGCCTCATCACCTGCCTGGTCTGGCACTGAACTCATTGGGGTTCCTGTCTCCTGTATTTCCAGCTTTTTTCAAAAGTGATATTGCCCAACAATGCTTTTGTGAATCCTGACAGCCCTTGGTAACCTTCTCGGGTGGCTGGTTCTAACACGAGTCCAGGAGATGAGAGAGAGATGGCTGGCAAAGCTTTCTTATGAATGCAGCTAAATTTTCTTCAGTCTCAACCGTCAAAGGAATTCCTTCTATCAGCAGCTTTGATCACACATTACGTTTGTCCATATGAATATGTCCCCAGCAAATTTGGGCAATATGTTCATGAAAAACCACCCCAAGCCTTGCTTTCAAGTCTTGCCTTTCCCAAGTTATGGGAGAAGGGTTAATTTTCAAGAACCTATTTCCCCCCCTCCCTTATATAATAATAATAATTTATTATTTATACCCCGCCCATCTGGCTGTTTCCCCCACTCTGGGCAGCTTCCAATCAAGTGTTAAAAACAATACAGCATTAAAGTCTATTGATATATGACAGTTCCTTCTCCTTTTTCATGTTTATTATGCTCCCAAGTCTTGATTTTTCAGTTAATTCTCTGTTTTTAACAACAATAATAAGGATAAGAATAAGAATAGTATACCGTCCTATCTCAGGGCCCACACAATCTTGGCAGCCATCCACACTAACAGTGAGAATATTATTTTGATGTTTTCTTTCCTTTTCATTTGCCTTTTGTTTTAATGCTTTCAAAGCATCTGACTTGCTCAATTACATTCTGCATTGTATGTGTTGTTGGTGATCTCACTTTAGAAACAGCAACAAGAAAAGTGTCTGCCTGTAGGGTGGCTTTCGGTGATCTCTTGATTCCAGGTATTTGAGCCTGACTGACAGACGGGCATGCTAACCCAACTTTGTGCCTTGCAATGTGTTGAATTGTGTTGGAGGTTTTTTCGTTTTTTGTTTTTAAATACTCATGTGCCTTCAGCTGTTCTTCCACATTACAAAGACTCCCTAGGCCACCGTTGCCATTTCCACATGTTGTTAAGGCAGATGGAAACTGCAGAAGACTTTTAAGGGCTGCTCTATATAATGCTCTGTTCTGGAAGTCGGCAACTGGCAGCCCACAGGGCAGAACCGGGACTGAGGAAGGTCTTTATTGGCCTCTAGGTGTGTGTGACACAACTGAGGCGTGTAACTTTCCAGGAAGCTCCATACTGACTAGCCTCAGAAATAAGTAAATTGAATAAAGGAGGAAGTGTGTGTGTGTGTGTGTGTGTGTGTGTGTGTGTGTGTGTGTGTAAAAGTGTAAGACAGTTGGGGAGCAACAAAAGCATTGCTTACAGCAGCCTTTGCCATCTTTGGTGCTCTCATAGCCCCCATCAGACCTAGTCAGCTTACATTGAGTGCATAACTTTGGCGAAGGCTAGCTTACTGGTTCCAGTTGGCGAAGGCTGGTTTCAGGCTTCCAGGAGCATTAGGATAATTGCATCAGTGCTCAGCTGTCTCATACACACAGCTTCTCTCCATTTTCCCACCGTAATAATTCCTGAGCCCAGCTGTCATGAAGCCAGCTAGTTTCAGGTGCCACAGCTCCCAGGTACTAACTGAATTGTTGTGACATCCCTGGAAGCATGACTACCTCTTGACCACTTCAATCTTTAGGATTGGCTGCACCGTCACACACGGTGACTCAGAGATTTTGCACTGTTAATTAAGAGGCAGTGGTCCATTTCTTTATTAATAGGGGGCAGTGTTTCTGCACTTAACATATTTGTAAGTCTGCCTTCATTGACTTCAAGAGAAAACGTGGCACCATCACTTGGCTTTTCTAATTCAGTCATTAGGGTTTATTTGCCATCCTTGCCTGTTCTTCCATGTCTTTGGTCTTGATGGCTCATCCTCATAGTGGTGGATTGGCTTCCTGCTCAGACTTGTTGCCAGCTAGGGCTCCCATGCTTTTCATAAAATGAGTGCAAAATGTCTCATGTGATTTGTGCCTTCTGTGGTTAAATTATGGTCATCAAAACCTATAAGGACCTACGAATTGAGGTGTAGCTTTGGGCCGATCCACAAACACACCCGCCTTATACTGCAGAGATGGAATCTGGAGCCCAACCCCATTCTGTTTCCTGAGTTTAGTAGACTACTTTTGGAGCTGTGATGAAGACCCTTCTGGAAGGCATATTACTTCTGTCAAATTAGCAGCTGTGGCACTTGATGACCATGAGCTGCTTGGAGGAGCATAAGGATGATGAGGATAAGCAACAAAATAAAAAAGAAATGCCTATTGGCCTAAAAGTTCTGCAGTATCATTCAAACAACCTTCGCAAAATGGACAGCAGCAAAGTGCGCTGAAGTGCATTGCACGGTTATTTCCTTAACTGCCAGCAGGTGGAGCTGTTGCCGAACTTGATGCTGCAGTTAAAAAAGCAATAGCAAGTTGGTAAGGAATCCCTGAAGTGCCAGAGCTGGGCTGGTACGCCCTGGATAAATCTGTGGGGAATGGCAAGAGAGAGCGAGAGAGCGCACGGGCGAGATGGAAGCATTCTAAGAAATTTTGTGCACGTTTCTTCCACAGTCCGACTGCCCCTACTCAGAAAAAGTCCCAAGTATTAAAATTCCAATGGACATCATGGAACAGGAACCTTTCCTAAGTGATAGCAAACCTTCCGACAGTGAGTAGAACTAACACCTTGCATGCCTGCTTCAGTCTCAGTTGCACCTCCAAAAAGCAGCTATATAGCGATATATAGATATAGGTTTATATATCTATATATACTTACAATATTGATTTTTTTTAAAGAAAAAAAAACCCTTGTTCCGTAGATGTTTTCTTTTCCCCTCTTATATCTACATGTTGTTTCTTTAAACCAGTCTTTTCATACACAGCATGTAATATATATATATATATATTTGGTTGGCTTTTAAAAATATCTCTTTCTTGTAAGTTCGTTGGTTTTGGGTTTTTTGCTTTTTTTCTTTCTTTCCTCCTTTTGTGGCTCCACTTTTTTTAATTTGCTTTTATCCAGCTGCTAACAGATCCGTCACTAGCTCTCTCTTTCTCTCTTTCTAACCCTCCAAATCAATCCAGCCCATTTATGGCATGGTATATTTCTGACCCCGCACGGTGGATGTGTGTGCACTTTCTAACGCTCTTCGGTGATTTCCTTTAGCTCTCCCTCCCTGCTGGCTAATCTTCTGGTTTTGCAGCCTTATAGAAGCACCACCACCACTGTCTCGCGCTGTTTGTTTCCTTAGGATCCACTCACCCGCCAAAAATCAGAACTAAAGCATATAATATTTGTCCACTGTGTCGTTGTTGTTTTTGAAAAAGAGGTCATCCTGTGAATCATGTCGCACTATTAACACGCTTGTCTTCCTTTAGGTGGCTTGGGTGATATTCACTTTCTTCTTCAATTTGTGCTAAAACGTGATTGCCTTTTTCATTTCAAAATGAGAACAAAACACTGCAGCCCCACCTCTGCTTACTCCCTTGCCTATCTTCTGTTTGTTGCTTTATTGATTGCATATGGGGCAGGTCTTGTGTGGTTCGATGTGCATTTTGCTGAATAGGAGGAATCGTGCAACACTCGCAGGTGGATATTTTGCGAGTTGGTGGGAGAAGAATGCATGTCTTGGCTCTCTGCAGATATAAACCAAGCGGCAAATATCCTAGAGGGGCGAAATATCAGTGTAGACTCGATCAGAATCTACCTGACCTCATGGTGCCATTGCAACATGCGGAGCAAGAGAACCAGACTTGCAGACTGCCAATTTTGGGTAGGGGAAGATGGTGGAAAGAGATGGGCTTGTTAGACATGCTAATTGAATGGAATGATGCTGGCTGGGTGGGTAGACAGGAAGACGGTAAGTGCCAAAAGCTTCAGATGCAGGAGAGATGGAATAAGTTAGGTGCAGCGCTGGTGAGCGGGTTGCTTGGTTCAGGGTTAACTATGGTGGCAGCAGAACAGTCAGATGGGACCACAAATGTCTATTAAAAAGTTGCTACATCTTGAATACAAAATTGCCATCTTGCTGTCTGGACCGAAGTCGTCGCAGTCCTCCCCATCCCAGGAAAATGGAGCTTTCCATTTCCCTCTTGAGTGTGGACCGGGATAGAGATGGGGAAACTGTGGTCCTCCAGGGGTTATTGCATTCCCAGCACCCATCAATCCCCAGGCAGGGTGGCCATTGGGCAGAGATGATGGGAACTGGAGCCCAAGAGGGTTCCCATATGTCCAGAATTTCCCAGACATGTCCGGGATTTCCACAGCGAAATTAGCGTCCCGGGAGGAATTTCGAAAAATCATTAAAGTGTCCGGGTTTTTGCCAACAGAACAAGTAAGCGTCTGTTTGACCAAACAACTTTTTGGGTGATTCTACCCCCTAAAAAAACCAACACCTTTTGTGTTCAGACCTTTTACTTATTGAAATATGGCAGCCCTAGAGTCCAACAACATTTGAAGATCCGCAGCTTGAACACAAACATATCCCGTCCTGTTTAACGCCTACATGAAACCACTGAGTGGGGTCATCTAGACTTTTGCAGTATGTTGTCTGCAATACAGCTCTGCTTCTTCTTTGCACTTGGAGGTGTGGCACTCGATTTCCTGGGCCGCCATCTTCCCTTAGTAATGGGCAACTTTGTACTGGGCTCAAGATATAGCAACTTTATTTTAGCTGCTTTGAGTTTATTCATAAATAAAAGAGGGGTAGAGATTTCTAAAATCAACCAGTCAATAAGCATTATTATTTTATTTCCCCCCCCAAAAAAAAAACAGGAGAAAAATCACCAACATTCCTTGAACGCCATACATCATGCTGATAAAATTCCTTTCCTGCACTCCCACACAATGCCAAGGTGAGGATCTATGTGGATGTACGACCTGCATGCAAACTATTTGTAATTCAGCTTTTTCATTGGTATGGTGGGTTGAAACTCCAGTACAGAAGTTCCACTGCAAATGAAATAAAGCTTTGACAGCAATCTAAATGTGCCGGGATCAAGCCCTTACGCAGAATCAGCAAAAACGAATGATTCGGTGAAGCTTGTCACTTTCTCAAAATGCCACCGAAACATCGATCCCCTCCGGGCGAAATAAGTCACCTACGTAAAAAGTTAAAGCTCTTTTATAGAGCTGGCATTCGCCTAACTCAGGATGAGCCAGGCTGTGATGCATGGGAGATGCTTAAGAACAAGCAGTCGTGTAGCAGACGGTGTCCTTTTGAGCGGGGTGGGTGGGACAGAAATGACAACCAGAAAGGAAGGCATGATGCAATAGGGGCAAATGTCAGGTTCTGCACTTAGGCAGGAAGAACCAGCTGCCCAAATATAAGATGTGGGGGGGGGGGAAGCACACCTGGATTGCCAGTAGTACATGTGAAAAGGATCTAAGGATCTTAGTAGACCACAAGCTAAACACGAGTCAACATTGTAATGCTTTGTCATGAGGACTTATGGGAATTTGCAGCCCGGCAACTTCTGGGGGTCACGAGGTAACCTCATATTTGAATTACAAGATGGCAGCACCTCCCAGCAAGTCTAATTATGGTTTTCTGCTGTAGAATATCAATGACCAGGTGTCAGGGCTCTCTGGAGGGTACCCACTTGGGGAAATCCACTTTACGAACTATACCACACTTGCCTCCTCCTTGGGATGTATATAGAAAGGCATTCTGTGCCAAGGCTTCTAGAATTGCTCCATGCCAGTGTGTTTATTCCTGCACGTATCATGTAAGAAATACCTCCCACCCAGTTGAAACATACCTCCCAACTTTAGGAAACATCTCTGGGCCTTCTCTTTAAACCCAGGCCCATGTTCCAGCACACTGTGCAAGTCCTATATGGCATAAGCGATGCGTAGCACCTTCGTTGTGTTTTCAAACGTTCAAAGGAACATTCAAAGGAACATTATTATCCCATATCTACAGGGACTCCACCGGCAGAATGGGGTAATTGCAATCAACTCTGTTGCTGTCTTCATATTGCTGTTGGATAGTTTTCATATTATTGCACCCACATAAAAGATAGGGGTGGTTAGAATGAGCAGGGGGGGGGATTCATCTGAGTGTATAAATTCTGCCTTTATGATTTTGGTTTTCTTTCTCATCTCTCTCTCCAGCCCTCCACGAACTCCAATGAAAGTTGTGCCTCAAATTAGAATAGAGCTTGATCCTGAAGACAGTTATTTCTGGAGGAGCAAGGGAACAGAAACTACGTTGTAATGTGTTCGTTAATCTTCAGCTGAAACCGGCTTTTTACCTTTTCTTCCTCCTCCTCCTCCTCCTCCTTTTACTACTAGCCAAATATCCAAAATGCTCTCTGCCTAGGTGAAACCAAGGCAGATTCTTCTCTCGAAAGCATTTAAGTGTTTCCCCCCCTCCTTACCTCTGTTTATTTTCCCCCACTCGCTCCTTTCTTTAATTCTGACCAAGACAGTTTTCTTTCTTGGTTTTGCCTTTTCAGTCACACACAATACGTCGTACGCCCTCCTCTTGAGCTTTTCAGCAGAGGGGTGGAAGTATTAAGGATATATTGTCACAGCTTTGTGAAACGTCAGCAGAACTGACTGGGGTTTTTTTTTAGTTGTGAATCAGTGTTTTTCTTCTGTTTTGGCCTCTGCCCCATGTCTTTTTCCTCTTTATCAGAACAAAACTGACCTCTGGTCTAGTTCACCACCCTTTTCCATTAGTCCTCTGCTCCGGTAAAATGCTGCTAACCGTAACATGTTCTTAACATCACCCGTGCTTCAATAGTCTCAAGCAAAGGAATCAAAAATGGTACATGCCTTTCCCCCATCACTGTTGTGAGTGTGTGGACCCTACCCTGTGCAACTTCTATTCAGTCCCAATTTAATGGATTCTTAACCTGGATTCGGCTGCGTTGACAAGTGTTATTTTCTTTTCTTTCTTTTCCCCCCTTCATTGTTTTTGTTTTAAATTATGGGGGCCTAACCTGCAACTTATATTTTTTTTGTCAATTTTTTAACTGTTTTTTTTAAAAAGAATTACTGTAAAAAAAATATGAATTTTTTTCCTGCAGCAGGAAACATAATAGTTTTCAGTAGCTCTACCTCTTATTTCTAGATGTCGGACTTTCTCTTTAAAAAAAAAAAAGGAAAAGAAGATTAATAATAATAATAATTGTATAGTATGTTATATAATGTGATTTTTACAAAAAGAAGAAAAAGCAAAAAAAAAAAAAAAAAACAGAAACAAAACCACAATCTCAAGGGTATATGGCATAGAACTGAAATCAGATAATATTAATACCTTTCATTGGAACCTTTCTTTCTTTCTTTCTTTCTTTCTTTCTTTCTTTCTTTCTTTCTTTCTTTCTTTCCTTCCTTCCTTCCTTCCTTCCTTCCTTCCTTAACAACCTGATCACCCAGCGGTTGAGCTTGGACATGAAGCTGAGCTACGGCTAAGCAAATTAGCAAATTAGTTTGTGCATGAAGCTCAAGCTCTCCTGTTTTCTTCCTCCCTGCCTCTCGCCACAGAATAGCTTGCTTTGTGTTACACCCAAATCGGGACTTGCGGTTTGTTTCCTCTCCAAACCGAACACAATCTAAAAGCCAAGGTTTGTTGTTGGTTTCCCAGTTTGGGAGGACCACAAACCACAAGTGCTGATTTAGATTATAATACCAAGCTAGCTGCTCCATGTTTTGTTCTCCTGCTGGATGAAGAGAGAAACCCATACGCAAGAGACTAATTTGCTTAACCATAGTAGCTGAGCGTCAACACCGAGTTGCAGCCAATGAAGGAATCGGGGCCCAAGTTTAAACGTCATGTGATTTTTTTGGTGGTTCTGTTGAACACAGCCAGCACAGTCGGCCCACTCTGCTGCCACACGGGCGCCATTCATCTCATGGAGACCTCTGCGCAAACGCCGTAAGTGTGAACGAGGAGTGCGCAGCGGAAACAATTTGCAAACTCCCTTCCAACGGGGAATGAGTAAGGTCAAATGAGCAGATGCAGACTATAGTCATGTGTTGAGTCCCTGTCCAGAATTGTTAGTGTTCTTTCATGTATACACACTTGTTGGCACGTACGTGTGTGTGTGTGTGTGTGTGTGTGTCCGCATAGGCAGTGCTTTTTTCCTTAAAAAAAACACACTGTTTAGGGGTACTCTCATTTTGACTCGAGAAAATCACCATTTTATAGTTCAAACTGGGGGAAATAAATGCAGTAAATGGACAAAAGTACAAAGATTCACAAAATGTTTAGGGGTGTGTGTACCCCCCGAAAAAAAGCACTGCACACAGGTGTAAACAAAGTGGTGTGGAACTGATGGGTGGGGAGGCACTTCTATTGCCTTAATTACCAGCCTCATTCCTGCCTACCCAAACCTTCTGTAGAGTGGATTTAAAGTCCTCCAGGCAAGGGAGATATCGAGGCTTAGAACCACACTAAGTTACTTTTCACCCTGTATCAATCTATATAGAATAAAATCTCATTATGTGTCTCTTTGGGGGGACTATGATACTTCATGCTGCATGTGCGGGGAACGACTTGTTTGTAGTTCCCCCGCAAAAAACTCACTGCACAGAGAGCACGTTCTGGAGAATGGTTTTAGGCTACCCTTCTCGCTGATGTGCTAGGGCAGCGGTTCTCAACCTGTGCGTCCCCAGATATTGTTGGACTACAACTCCCATCATCCCTGACCACTGGTCATGCTGGGTAGGAATGATGGGAGTTGTAGTCCAACAACATCTGGGGACACACAGGTTTGGTTTTTTTTATTATAAATTGTTCAGAGAATATTTCCTTCGAGAGAAAATCTGAAACATGATCTCCACCACCTGTAGCCTGAGAAAATGTGCCCCACACGATTCTGCTGTGCATATAGATTGGCTCCAAATCCAACTAGGCCAGGGGTCTGCAACCTTTAAGACAAAAAGAGCCACTTGGACCCGTTTCCGAAGAAAAAAACAACTGGGAGCCGCAAAACCGGGAAGGTGACATCGGGACAGTGCATGACTAACGCATGCACCGCCCCCATGCGATGTCACAGCCAGTACAGCGCCTGCCACTGTGGGGAGTGTCGGGGCACACAATGCGCCTCCTCCCCTCGCTAGTATCCACCCCGGAGCCGCGGCAAAGGTGTAAAAGAGCCACATGCGGCTCCGGAGCCGCGGGTTGCAGACCCCTGAACTAGGCCCAGCTGCGCAGCGGATGAGATGTAGAGGTATAAAAATAGGATGGGCATTATATGCAGTGGCTGTTAAAAGCCATAATTAGAAACTGGCTGTAGCCACTCCAGTGACTCTCAGAATGCTCTTTAGCCAGGCTACTCTTGCAAGGGAGGGCTAAGGACACTGGGCATGATCCAGGCAATCCCTGGATGCGCACCCAGGACATCTCCCTTTTTTCTCAAACAGCAGCTCCTTGCACTGCATTTGGGTCGAGACTTTAAGGCCCCCCAGAGTTTTGTAGGCAGTTTGGGAGCATGCGAGAGCTGGCATCCCCATTGCGCACAGATTTCTGACCGCACCGCACTTCTGGGTTAGGACCAGTGCGCTGTGTATGGGTCTGTATCTACTGGCACTCTCAGACAAGAGTAGTTTTGCTCCAGCAGCCAAGTACCTCACTTCTGTGCTTGTCCAAACCACCACTTCATTGGAGACTCCTGTTGTCACAGGTATCGAACAGCGCAGTGTGCCTTGGATTCTCCACTGATCTGGCAGTGTAGAGAGCATGGAAGCGAGTTTCTTTTCTGCAGGAGTAAAATCCTACTCATGGGAGCAGAGACCCATGCAACCTCCCTGGTTTTAGCTGGGAGTGATTCTATATGTGCACCAAGGCGCAAAGCACAAAAGGGAGCCGAGAACCTTGAAACCAACAGTGACGTTTTTGAGATGTCATGTGACACACACACACACATGCCCATTTCCCCATTGGTATGTTCCTAGTGGTCATTGTCTCCTGGCAAGGGTCTTCTACTCCTCAACTTGTACTTGAATTTACTGTGGTAACTTCTGACTATAGAAAATGGCATTGGAATTGAGGGGGAGACAATTCTGTTTTCAGTTGCTTGTACCACTTAAAGTGGGGGGGGGCAGAGGAGGAGGAGGAAGGAACAAGAGTTGGAGATATTGCATTTCATGCACTCCTGGCCTTCATCGTGCCTGGCTGCACCATCTATTTATTTATTTTGCAGTTTCCAGCCCTAAGGGTCTATTTACACTACAGCTGCAAATTGTTCTTTTTGCCAGTCTAACTGGCATGGCTTCCCTCTGAAAACAAGCGCTGGGAATTGTTGTTTGGTGAAGGTGCAGAGAAGTCTCCGTTCTGGGTTTCCGTTCCACATGGCCTCTCACCACAGAAATCCCCTTAGATGAAGGAATGGCTGTGAAACCAGACTGTGTAGTGTAAAGTTACCCTCTAAATATTTCAGCTATAGGAAATGAGCACTTTTTGTGTAGCATTTGGTTTCTGTGCAGGAGCCTTTTGGTTCCTGCGTGTTGTGAGAGTAAGGCCTGGCTCACACATAATACTAAGCCATGGTTTAATTAAGCTGCTGTTTGCTCAACCAACGATGCGTTAACCTCGACTTTCACAGATGATCAGACAGACCATGGCTTGTTCCTCCAAAGCTACTTTACAGTTGCTCTTGCCTCATGTCTGTGTTATTTGTTGGAGCACCGAAACAAACCATGGTTCAGGAAAGGTGCTGGCTTCACATATAACACCAAGCCATGCCAAGGTTTATAAACCAGGAACAAGCCATGGCTTCAAGGTGTGGTTTTGGGCAGAAAGCTGGTCACAGTGAAGCTGCTGGACAGGGTTCACACATGACGCTAAACCATGGTTTGCTAAACCATGGCTCATTGTTACGTGCCAGCCAGACCCAGTTGTCTCACTGGTTGTCAAAGTTACAGCTCCCTTCTGTTTAAGACCATGGGAGCTATTGGGGACCTGGAAGAACAAAGTTTCACATATAAATGGGATACAGAAGAATAGAGAGATGGCTGTAGCAACACATTCTTGTGTGTGGTGCCATAGAGCTCTGAGGTTACTGCACCATAAATCTCATCCCATCACCGGACTGATGCCAGTTGAGAGAAGGAATAGAGAGTGACTGAGTGAAGCATACTTTCAGGTTACACAAAACCCTTCTGATTCTTACCAGAAGTAAACTGCTCTGCAGCTTGGAAGCTTGCTATTCTCTCCTGTAGTACTGTACACAATTCAGGCTGCTGTTTTACGGACACTTCAGAAGGAGTAAGCCTCATTGAACGCAGCGAAACTTATTATAGGATTGTGCTGGTGGTCAAGTAAAAGGTAAATGTTCAGAATAGCTTTGAAACCTGTAGATCTTTGGAGCGCAGTCCACAGAAGTTATATTACTTTTGCCACCAACTTGAGTGTGGAACCCCTAGAGATTTAGTGTCATTCTTTCAGACTTTGACATCACATTTCTACGTCTTGGTTATAACGTTGTGGCTACAAACCTTTTATTTATCCCCACACTTCACTTCAAACTCCACAGAAGGGCTAATTGTGGAGCCTTTTGGACAGTCGTACTAAATTAAATTAAATTGTAGAAGGAACCAGCCCTACTCTTTCTTCAACTGCTGCTCTGGGGGTACACCCTGCACCCAGTGACTGATAAGGTTCCCATCCCAGGCACTAAGTCCATGCGTACATTGCATGAAGCATCTAAGGAAACATGGGAGCCAGGATGTCACCCTCAAAAGGTGGAGTACATCCTGTCACAGTCCAAATGGTCACTCCTACTCTGAAACCGAACTTTTTCGGTCACTCATTGCTGTTGTGCAAAGGTACGCGTCTTTCACCACAGAGGTAGCAGGGATAGAGGAGTGCCACTCTGTGCGCATTAAGACTCCTGGCCCTGTGGCAGTGGCTTGTAGTTTAAAATGGGGCGCTCAGGCTATGAATGTGTGGTTCAAGTCTTTTTCTAGATCTTGTAAGAGCCACCAGGAGCGGCAAGAGCTGAGAAGGCAAAAGGGAAGGAGGAAAGGTGGCTTTGATCGGGCCAGTCAGAGAGGCATGATTGGCCTCACTGAGGACTACAGCCTTAGGAAGGCATGCTGCTTACACCAACTTCACAGCCAAACTCTGCAAAGAGATTTTTTCTTTTTTGCTCAGGGCTAATGTTGAGTGAAACTTTTAAAGAGCCAGAGATAACTTTGTCCCAGACCTAGAATGTGAACGTACTGACCACTCATGTCTGTCTGTCCTTTTCT